TGTTTGGACTCTCATTCTGACGGCACCCATTCACTGCAGAGGATCCATTGATGAGCAAGTGAAGTAATGCTAAATTTCTCCAAAACTGTTCTGATGAAGAAAGAAACTAATTTACATCAGTTGGCCTGAGGGTGAGTACATTTTCAACAAATGTTCATTTTTGGGTGAAGAATTCCTTTAATTTTGCCACAACTATTGACCCGGCCTTGCGCTATCAAGTAAATCTACAAAAGTCATCATGAAAAGTCATTAAATGTTTGGGAAAAACGATTATACTCAAAGTTTGCTCATTATAATCTCTGATGAAGAATGGGCTTTGTTGTGGTTTAGCACATTTGACAGTGATCATCAAATTCCATTCATTATCAGAAGATTTATCAGTATTAAATAGGATTTTACATTGTAATCGGTTTTTAAATGAAGATGTGATGGGAATACTAGTCTGCCTTATCCAAACGTCTGACTGTCTACGTGTGATATCGCACAATCACATCCAAATCCGGCAGCAAACTTATTATGTTGAGGGATTTCTTTAATCATTCGCTTTTGCAAGATTTTCCCCTATAATCCACACCTTAACGCATCAATCATTTTTGCCAATATCAGCTCAAATTGAGCAATATCTCTGTCTGAAGCTCATATCTTTACCACAAGCCTTTCAGACGACAAATCACAACGTAATGGTTTCAGTATGAGTCCGCTGTGGAGTTTATGAGCACTACTTTGTGGAGATAGAGTTCATCTCTCTTTACGACAGCTTTGGCTGGGGTCACAGTGTTGCAACTTGGCAGCCGGATTGATATTTTTTCTGTCTAGAAAAACATGAGCCAATATCTGTCTGTGCTACTCAGAAAGGTGTTGGGGGGAAATATAACAACCTAGCTGCCATGTAGAAACACTTCTAATCTGACAGCACTGTAAATGAAAAATGCATCTATTTGAGTCTGGAAACATTCTAGGAGGGAATCACTGAAAATAAGTATTCTATATTTAATTTTCTTTCTTCCACTTTCATCTTCTTTTGCATTCGAACTATGAAGCCATACCAGCCTAGCTAAACATAGCAAAAACTGCCATACTTTTGGCTGTCCACACTGCAGTTTATTCTAGCCAAAAACCATTAAACAGGAATAAATTGTCTGATCACATGTAAAGTGACAAACCATAAGGTGTGGGAAACCTGAAGACAAGGTTCAAAATGTATGCTCACCAAGTGCTAAATTTGAGAAAAATATTTACCAAGGTTCAACAGTAAAAATGCAACTACAGAAAGAAAAAGGAGCTAAATAATCTAATTGTCATTGAGGCAAAAATATTTTTAAAATTAAAATACTAATTGAAATTCAAAATTAAACTTTTATAATACTTAAAGGGGTCATCGGATACTACATGCACTTTTACAAGTTCTTTGAACTGAAATGTGTGTTGGCAGTGTGCACACAACCACCCTATAATGCTAAAAATCCACCCAGGGTTTTTTTTTTTTTTTATCTACTAAAATCTTTACCCCTTTCTCAAATCGAGCCGATCTCAGATGCCTGTCTGAGTGACGTCACAAAAACAGGCCCCTCCCATGATAGTTTGATTGACAGTAGCGTTTCAGCACAGACTGGACTGGCGTCTTACCTTAGACTCGCCCTGAGTGAGCTGTCATCAGTCTGCCAGTGTTTCACCGCCGGAGCAGATGTAGACAAGAATGACTCCTAAGCGATTGAGGTGTTCTGTTGTTGGATGTAATAATGAACATAGCCGTCGTCATTTATTCCCGACATCTGAGCCGCTGAAGACACAGTGGATTATGTTTGTTTTTGAAGGGAATGCGCCCCGATCTACATAAATGTGTCTATTTTCGCGAGAATCTTTCGTGATCCAGTCTCATCTACAGAAGAAGTGAGTTTAAGATTTTTAATTAATCTTTGCAAATTGCCTTTCCTAATAATGTGCTAATCACAGAGGCAGACAGTAACTAAGTACATTTACTTGAGTATTGCACTTAAGTACACTTTTTGAGTATCTGTACTTTACTTGAGTATAATTTTTTCTGGAAACATATGACTCTAACTTCACTACATTTGAAAGACAAATATTGTACTTTTCACTCCATTACATTTCTATTAAGATCCTCGAAGTAGAAAGTCGTTAGCAGCTTTAAAAGCTAGTGGGTGATTTTTTTTCTTCTCTAAAAACTGTATTTTTTTCAGACAGTTTATTAGTAATCACTCTTGTAGGGCTACATCAAGTGATTTCCCAGCATTTTTTGAGCACTGACCAGTTCCAAATGTGATATTTATTTACAACAATTCAATAATAAGAAGTTAATATTGTGGTTTATATTAGACACAATATTGTATGATTTTGCTAAATTGTGTAAGTGAAAATATTACCTATAAAGCCACAGAAGAACTGTTGTGCGTCTCCTAATAAAATACAAAAGCAGCACTGAAGACCATTCTGTGTATGACATCTATTTTAGTTTTGATGTCAAATAAGTCTTGCTGTTTTGCTTTTTTGTTAAAGCAGTGTTGCTGTTGTAAAGTTATACAGCTACAGTTGTGTTGCTGGGTTTTAAAGCAGGATTGATTTTTTTATTTTCTTCCTTATCAGTCTGTATTTACAGCAATTTCACTGTCCACTCTGTTCAAATGTGGATGAATGGTTACACACAGATGTGTCCAGAGCTGTGTGAGATCACTACCATCCTGCTTTTGTGGGGGTGGGTAGGGGTGTTAAATAATAATTATTTATATATTTTCCCCCGATAGGTTTTTAACATTCTAAAAGCTCTTTATTCCAAAGATACTACAAGCTAGTCAGTGTATTCAGTAGGTGTAATGTATTGTAAGTTGCTTCAGAGGTATTGCAAGTATTAAATACACCAATAACAAAACATATGCATTGACATAAAAAAGGAAATTTACTTTTGGTACTTAAATACTTTTAAAAGCAAGTACTTCTGTACTTTTACTTAAGTAAAAATCTATCTAAATAACTTTTACTTGTAATGGAGTATTATTTGACCAGCAGTATCTGTACTTTCACTTAAGTAATGGAGTTTTGTACTTTGTCCGTCTCTGGCTATTTAGCAAGTTTCACGATGAATAAAGTAAACAGTCCCTCAGAGAGCGGCTCGGAAGAGAGGGGGGGGGTCAGCAGAGATTATTAACATTTAAAGGAAAATGCTACAAAACGGCTTGCTCTGAAAAGAGCTGTTTTTGACAGGGTAAAAAAAAAGGTGTTTTTACACTAACATTGAGAAATTTTAACCAAACTATGTTACAGACTTTTCATTAAGACTCTAAAGAATCATATCAACTTGTGGAAAATGGGCATCCGATGACCCCTTTAAAGCTGCAGTCCGTAAGTTTTGCCTCTTTGTCGCCATCTCTGTTTGAAAACCTGGAATTGCAGCTGTGTGCGGAATTATCTAGCTTGCCTGGGTTGTGAGTCGGCGTGGCTCCAGCGCGGATGAATCTAATGTTCTGAAGAGTATGTGTGGCAATCAGTCACCGCACCGCTGTGGATATTTACTGAACTTCGCAATCACAGATTCTAGACTACGTCTTGGAATATGACCCAAATAAGAATTTTCACCGTATATTGCCATCTGAACAAGTAACAAGTTTGCCATGTTTGTTCTGACCAACAGAGGAAAAAAGCATTACCATAAATCTCGCTACCAATGGTGATTAAATCTAAAGATCGGTTAGCTCATATCACATCAAACCGTTCAAATTATTATAATTGTTATACTTTATTCTCAAATGATTAATGTTAACAACATCAGCATTGGTGACTATGAGTATAGTGTGTATTAGCGTGTAGATTTAAATTTCTGTACAGTCTAATCTAATTGTCACACTCCTCTAATTTCATATTAAGAAATTATTTTAACCCAAAAAGCAAATTATGCTCCCTTCGAACTGGTTTTCTTTAAAATACAAATCTTTGTAATCCCAGGCTATCTGTAATCAGAAGCACATTTATAACTGGAATATAATATAATTTAATTTCATTCACATGCATTTCATAAACACATAATCCTTTCTGGATTACAATCCGCCATCAAAATGATACATTTAATTATTCTGGCTGCTGTGAGAAAAGGCTATAAACGATCGGCCACCTGCAGGATCCTCACATGCGATAGTCTAGTAGCCGGGAAAACTTCTTTATGTTTACAGAAGTGACGTAATGACGCAGTGCCATGCTTGAATTTCCCACAAAAACCTACCCGTACCCCTCAAATTAGAAAACATTATTATAATATAACCGTTGTGAATCGGGCTAAAGTAAGGCAATGGTTTTGAACACTGGCTGGTTATGTACTTGCTCAAAAATTGATTTCAGATCATTTTTAACCAAAAAAAAAAAAAGTTACGGACTGCAGCTTTCAAAAATGCCTGAGACAAACTGCATGGCTCCATTGATTGAATTTGTCTTGTACCCACCCCACTGTCTCTCTATCATTAATAACAATTTTAATTTATTAAGCCATATTTTTATGGCTGATATGTAATATTTATGGCACGTGTAACCAAAATTACATTTGGAAAAAGTAAGAAAAAGAAAATAAATAAATACAAATCTGCATGACATTCTCTTGTATATTTAGCAGAAACAAACTAATGAAAATAAATCAAAATCAAAATGACAGAGTCCAATCAAATGCAATCCTACCATAAATAAATAATGAAACCAAAAGTGAACTCAGAGAGGTTCACATTTTAAGCATAACACATCTGCTGCCATTCATCTGTTAAACACATTAGCTGGATACAGAACCACACTATGAGCTGACAGAGCAGCAAAGGTCCAGCGTGGCGACACTTCAGATTGAGTCACTGCCACTGATGAAATAATGTGGGCTGGTGAACATTACATTACAGACAGTGAGATGTCTATACTCACAGTTTGCTGTTTTCCCTCATGAAAAAAAACCTGCCGTTTTCAATGAACAAGTGTTATTAAACAACGACACAGTTGTCAGTGAATAGTCAAGCTAATGAAGGCATTCAGTATTGGGGCAGTGCCTGGTGTGATCTAACATCAAAGGCTTCGTCTTCAGCTAGATATGAAGTGAGAGGGGGTTTTATGAAATGCCGGTTTAATTTATGCATGCATGGATAATAACATCTCATTATGCTGATTTACCAAGATGGAACATGTGCAGTAAACATATTTGGATCTGGTTAATTATACAGTCCTGCATGCATGAAAATAAGTATTCTATGCAATGGGTTAAGACATAACCTTTAAATTATAAATAAACATACAAAATCAACAGAGTTGGAATGTATTTGAATGTGAAAATGATGATGAACAGCAGTGTCGACTAAAGGTAGTTATGACTCACACACAAGTCTCGTCTTAAAGACTCATGATGTGCATTATTTCTATACCTCAGACAGCATTGCCAGCATCACAGCACAGTTGCACGTATTCCGAAGTTTTTTTAATTAAACCTCTCTCTTATGCATCTCTAGTTTGAATTACTTTCATACAATCACTTGCACGCTGCTCAATCAATAAAAAAAATAGCACGTTAAAGTGTTCTTATGCATACCTCTAAAAAAACTAATAAAAGCAGAAATCAAACAAAATCACTTATCCAATCAAAATCTAAAACAAGTCATGTATTAATTATATAACCACTTAATTATATTTTGCACTTGAAAAAATGGCAAAAATAATATCAATCCACTAATCAGTCTCTAGCCGGATATGCTTCCATGCAATCATTTTTCTAATTGATCAAAATCAAGTTTTGCATCTCGAGTTTGATTTGCTTTCATGCAATCATTCATTAAATAATCCATACAAAAATAAAAATAAAAATGAAAATCAATATAAAAAAAACTCGATAATCAATCGATATCAAGTGATCACATCAATCTCAGGTCTGATAGTCTCTCATGTAACTATTCATTTGTGAGGTCCTTAATATGACGCATAATTGAAAACCAATATGAAAATCACTTGGAAACCATAACCTCATACTCTAGCAAATAAATATCAAGATCAAGTTTTGCATCTCGAGTTTGATTTGCTTCCATGCAATCATTAGTTTGATAATCCATAAATGCAAAAAAACAAATGAAAATCACTATCAAAAACTCAAATCAGTATTATTATTAAAGACGATCAATATCAAGCAATCACATCAATCTGATAGCCTTTCATCTAATTATTAATTGATGAATTACTTAAAATGACGCATCACTGAAAACCAATATAAAAAATCACATATAAATCATAACCTCATATTCTATTAAGGAAAACACATATCATGTAATAACCTATAAATCAGTTCCTAGTCTGTTTTGAATTATTAATTCATCAACACTTAACAGGCAAGTCAATATGAAATCAGATATATATCAACTTATCAATCTTGATGCAATCATTATTTTTTACTCAATAATTTTGAATGCACTTAAGATAAATCAACTGCTCACTTATCAATCAATAACACTTACACATTACACACTTATAAATCTCAAGCTTAATTTGTTTTTATGCAATAACGCATTCATTTATCAATACATTTAAAGCACGTATCAATGATAATCAATATAAACTAATCGCTTATCAATCAAGTTATGTATCAACCTCAAGCCCGATCTGATTTTATGTAATAATTCATTCATCAACTTTTCAATGATAATCAATACAATCTGATCCCTCAATAGCAGCTAGCAATCAATGAAGTGACTGGCACAGACGCTGTCTTGAGTGACTCACCAGCAGCGTGGGGACTCCGGTGACCACCGCGTACAGCAGGGCGGGCGGGATGGCGCTCGTGTCCTCGGGTCCGAGGTAGGGTTTTGTGTAAGCGGTCTCGTAGCAGAAGAAGCCCTGCACGTGCACGTTGAACGTGTCCGTGTACTCGAAGTAATATGCCAGCATGACCGTCCCCGCCATGATCACCAGCTGGAAGTAAAGCATGGTCGTCAGAGAGTGGGGCAGGAACATTTACCAACAATCCAGTGGAGAACCTCCAAACATCTGAGCTCTCGTTATAGTTCCCGCATCTCGCCGGGGTCCGACACTCCGAGCGCAAGCGAGGTTGGCACGCGAAGACGCACGCGCTCGCATGGCACAGCGCTCGAGCCGGAATGAGAGAGCGCGAGAGAGGAGAGCGCGATAAAGTGCCACCGCGCGCTCCTCACTACAGCCAGCTGATGATGAAGAGACAAGTCAGGCGCCGTGCCCGCGCCCCACCATCATCATCATCATCATCATCATCATCATCCGCTCAGAGGGTTTAAAGAGAGGCGCTATTCCATCAGTCACCAAATGTCACCTCGGCTCTATCAGCCCTGACTAACAGCAACAAAACTGGCTATTTCTGTAAAATATACTAATTCACAGACAGTACAATAAAAAAAAAAATCAAGTGCGGATTTAAAGTGTATAAAAACTTCGATCGATCATAATATAGCGCACACACTAACACAAAACAGATCAGGTCGCTCATGTTAAAAACAAAATGTAAACAAACTTGATAGTTCACGCAGGGAATTGTGGGAATGCTTCTTTAAAGAAATTCATACTTTTTAGCTTATAAAATACAACATTATATATTCACTCACACACCCACATGCACGTTTGTTTCTGTGAATTGTGGGGACTTTCCATAGAGTTCTATTACTTTTATACTGACCAAACAATATTTTCTATCCATAACCCTAAACCTACCCCTTACAGAAAACCTGTTTGCATTGTTACACTTTCAGATAAACAACGTTTACTATTTTTAATCAATTTTTCCCCCATGCTTCATGAGAAATTCATGGCCTGTCTTCAATGTACTTGAGAATATCTGAAGGGATTCTCTTTGCTTTTTTCAAAATATTTGTGTCAGGCTCAGAAATATTGAAATAAATGCCACTCGAGGAGCAATACAATACAACATCTATGCAACGATTTCAAATGTTTAACCATGACTTTGTGCTTTACTTCTAGAATACAAATAAGGGGTCTGTCAATGCTGTTACTAACCTTATTTTACACTGCTAATCTTAAAATAGTGTACTATTGTATGTTTTAAAAATGGTAGGTCAGTTTTTAATGTATTCCCTGATTCCCAGGATGCATGGGAAAACCCCTGAAAGGTCCTATAACCTTTTTTTCTGGCTTTTGATTGAACCCTTTTATGGAACTTTTAAAGGGTTCTAAGTATGATGCGCCCGATAGAAACCTTTAATGTTCTATATGTATTCTAAGAGTGTAAAAAACATTCGAAACCTGTGCTGGTAGGCTGCAGTGTCATCGTCAATATGAGAGCGGCTTTGGATGAGATGGTATTCGGAAGTTAAAGCTCAAATATTGGATTCTTCTAGAAAGGGCTTTTGGTAAGCAGCCAGCAAGAGTAGTTAATTAGTGTTTGAGGGCCAGCATACTTCATCTAAACTACAAAGACTGCATGTTTGATTAACATCAATTAGAAAAGTCTGCCTGAAACATTAATCGTCTGAAATTGTCCCCATTAAAAACAAAACACAATGACGACTCCACAAACGTAGAAGAAAAGAGGTCAATTGGTTGCATGTAGACGTCTGAACATCAAGCTGAGAAGATTTTTTTTCTTTTGATGAATGAAAGGATAATCATGAAGTAGAACAAATACAAATACTTCTCCAGATCACTATCATTGCTCTTCGTATTACATCAGTGTGAATGTGTGATACAGTCTTCTATACAGCTTGTTAAAAATCTGTCCGTTAGCCTGTGATCTTGTGTATACTGTGGCTTGTCTGATGAAATAAGTCCTCAATTCATAACTAAGTGAAGAATTTGAGAAGGTCTGGTCTCTTCTGAGCCTGCAGAAGGAAGCTCAGTATCAAAGCCAACTACTATAGTATATGAATGTTTTAGACAAGTATAAAGAATAAGAACTCTCTCTCTCCTTCTAATAGTTTGGCGCTGCTTGCTTAGCGGCTGTTCCATAACTTATTCATACAGCTCATGATTCTTTTAAATGACTCCGTGACTCGAAGACAGATGCTTCACAGAGCACTTTAATCATCCACTTTTTCCATATAAAGGCGTGGGTGTAATGAAGCATTAAACTCAATATTAATGCAGATCATTCAGGAAATAAGGCAGAGAGGAAGCAGGGCATTTCTACTGTTCACATCCCTCTCTCTCTCTCTCTCTCTCTCTCTCTGCCAGCTGTCTTCCTCTAAGCATTAACTTGCTTTTATGAATGTCACAGAGAATAACACCGCCACCAGAAAAAGTCTCATTATCTGAAAGGGAGAACTTCCTTAGAAAATTTTGCCTCTTGTTTTAGGCTTTATGGGGCCACCCTTTTGCATATGATACAAAGATATTTTATAGAGAGGAAATTTAATGTAGCCTTTGATTTAATAGGACATATATTAACATATTTGTTATGTTAACAGGTTCTTTTACAACTGTTTTTGTGGTAAAGGCATAGTCCACCTAAAAATGACTATGTATAAAAATCTTGTCATAATTTACTCACCTTCATGTTATTTCAAACCTGTATGACTTTCTTTCTTCTGTGGAACACAAAAGAAGGTATTTTGAAGAATGATGGTGATCAAACAGGGTCTCATTGACTTCCATTATATTTTTTGTCCATTCTATGGAAGTTAAAACCATTTGAAGAAATGCAACATGACGGTGAGAAAAGTATGTTCTGGGAAAACCAGTGGCACATAAGCCTGTGTATATCTTCTATCTAGCCTTTAATTAATTAGATTATTTCAAGAATCTCAAACTTGTGTCACTGTTAAACAATTACATAAGAGATCAAGTAGAGCAAGCATCTCATTACAGCAAATCAAACCCAAACACTTGATCAGGCCACAGTGGAGTTTATTTCGAAATAATGACAGGCTGACTGTTCAGCAAGGGTGTAGCGTGTAAACAGACATTTAATTGTTTGAACAAAATGATTGCTAGAGACAACTTAGTATTACTGGATATTGGTAGGGACATGTTATAGCGTCCCTACTAAATTCTATGCCCTTGAAAATCAAAACAAGAGATGTCCAACTTTGGAAACAACAGTTCTCTCCTTAAATATGAAGAAGTCAAACAACAGATTAATTTAACAATTAACAAACACCGCTTCTTTTCTTTCAGAATCATCATTGGCTTTTCGAAAGAAAAATAGTTTGCTTTAAAGTTTTTACTTACAAATGAAGATAAGGTAAAGGTGCAAATAATATCGGGGAAGAAAATATATATTAACGAATTTAAGCCTCGACTCGAGCAAGAGAGATTATTTTTTCCCCCAGAATATCTGCACGATTGCAAAGGTGATATTTATTTTTCAATAAACAATAATTTGATATTATGTAACATTTTAGACACAATAATGTCTGTTTTTGTGCAAGTTCGCCAACGAAAGCAGAACTGTTGGGCGTCTCAAGTGGTGTTTCATTAGTGAATGAATCCACGGTTTTGAACGAATCGATTGAGCTAATGATTCAGTGAGCCATTCATAAATACAGTCAATCTCTGCGTCCCAGTGTTCATACTATCCATCCTAAATAGTATGTGAGATTAGAATAAGTGTGTCCCAAAGCACAGTATGTTGAAAAGAGTATGCCAAAAGTCCCCGGATGGTCTACTATTTCAGGTCGATTTTTGAAGTGTGGATCCGTGCACACTCTAATGGCTAATAATACCCACAAACCATTGCACTTTAACGAATGATTCGGTTCAGAACTACAAACATGAATAAAAAGTGTTTAAAAAACTACAAACATGGTGGATGTGCGCGAACGACGGTTCAGTAGAGAGGTTTAGATAAAGGGGTTTGAGTTACTAATAATCAACATTTAACCTGGTAAAAATATTTATTTAATGTTATCTGTGTTATATTTCATCTGCAACAGCAATGTGAACTTTTATAAACATCTGTTTGGTCGTTAACTTTGAAAATACGAGCAGAGTTCTCTGCATAAAGACCTACGGCTCGCAGATCAACGTGCTACTTCTTTTCTCTCCGATATGGTAGGAAGTTAAATGAAATGAAAAGTGGAGGATATAAACTGTGACAAGATGATTGACAGGCCAGTTTACAGTGACAGGATGCGTGTAATTGTGCGATAGAGCGGACCATTAAAGATACAAATGTATGACGTTATAGTATGTCCCAAAGCTTGCCTACTCTTCTACTCCACACTCAAAAGTGTGTACTTTTTCTTCACCAAAAAAAGTACATACTTTAAGGGCATAGTATAAGTAGGCACATTGGGACGCAGCAACTGGCTTTGCTTCTGAATGAATCAGCCGTTTGAACGAATCGGTTGAATGTAGAGCGGACCATTAAAGATACAAATGTATGACGTTATAGTATGTCCCAAAGCTTGCCTACTCTTCTACTCCACACTCAAAAGTGTGTACTTTTTCTTCACCAAAAAAAGTACATACTTTAAGGGCATAGTATAAGTAGGCACATTGGGACGCAGCAACTGGCTTTGCTTCTGAATGAATCAGCCGTTTGAACGAATCGGTTGAATGAATGACTGAATGGCTCACTCATTAAACAGCGATTTGCCGCCACCTACTGGCTCTTTATATTTAGAGTAGTAATTATAATATATAATACAGTATATATATATATTTTTTTTCTATGTTGAATCAAAATATTTCTTTCTTAATCCACAGTAATGTTTTAAGTGCCAGCAGTGTATCATTAGTGTATTGAGGCTCACTGGATCAAGAAGAAATTATAGTCTGTCCACGCTACAGGCATCATTGGATGGTGAAAGAACTCTTCAGTCGACATCTCTTGCCTTTAAAAGGAACCTGAGAAATGAAATATGGAGCCATGCTTTTGCCTCAATAGTGCCACACTATACTACAGAAAGGAAGTGCCACCTAGTGGCCACTAGAATAAGAACAACCTTGCCACTCACTACACAACAAGAACTAAACAAGGACTAAAATATAAAGCACAAATCCATGCAAATTATTGGGCGCATTATGGAAGCCTTATTGCATGCAGAAAATGAATAAATATTATAAATAAAACAATAATAATATAATATATAAAAGAGTAGCTGCAATTTAATTAAATTTATGAGTTTCAAATTTCTTCCCCAACACCAGACTGAACAACCCTTCAAATTCATGTAGAATCTGTTCCTGCATCACAAAAACACAATTATGTAGAACATCTCAATTCTGCTTGAAACAAGTGCCACCCAGAACAGATATGCTATCAAGCACTCTTCCTTCTTAGGACTGATATTTAAAACCGGAGCCCTCTGTGATCTCATCACCGGACAGATCTCAACAAGGCATTTCGGAGCACTTGCAAATATTTGCAGACAGCCACGTCGCTGATTGCCGTGGCACAACAAACAGTCGTTTAATTCCTGCGGCCCTGTGCCAGCCTCAGCCCTTCAGATTAATGAGGACGGCCCCACAGGGAGCGATGACCAAGCATTTCATTACAGGCTAACAACAAAAGCTAATTCAGCACAGTCTCTCATAACTGTGATCCCTTCGGACAGCAGTAAACACTGCCGCATCGTGGAGGGAATTAAGTTTTTTGCAGTGCTCCACGCATGATATTAAGATCTCAAGAGGCCTCTGACAAGCTTGGTGAGCGAAAAATGTCTTTGCAAACCTCTACCTTCCAAAAAGTAATTAAAAATTGATCAGGGTCTGTTAAAATGAACAAATATAGATTTGACTATAAGAATTAATCTGCAAACAAGCAGTTAAAAGCACAGATTCTCATGTTTTCATTGCTAATGGAAGAGCAGACAGATACACATATACATACATAAAATACACGTATAAAATTATATAATGTGTCATATATAAATACATTACTGTACAAAAGTTTGGGGTTCAGAAATGCAGTAAAAACTGTAATAATCTGAAATATTATTACAATTTAAAAAACGTTTTTGCTATTGCAAAATATTTTAAAATGTCATTTATTCCTGTGATGCAAAGTGGAAATATTTGTTATTATTGCTGCTTAGTATTTTTGTCAAACCTGTGATGCATTTTTTCAGGATTAATTGATGAATAGAAATGTTAAAAAAAACTGTTTATTTGAAAGAAAAAAAAAACTTTTGTAGCATTATAAGTGTCTTTCTTTATGGTCAATTGTGTATAATTTATAGTGTTGTGTATTAAACATAATATCAAAATAAAATAATTAATTTAAACTTTTAAATAGTAGTGCATATTGTTTTTAATGTTAATTTACATTTATTTTGTTTCAATCTGAATCCAATAGTTTCACACACTTTCTTTTCACAGATTTCTCTCTGTCTTTTGCCAGTTTAAATTGTGTAACTTGCAAAGTTTCCTTGTATATAAAGCGTGAAAGACATTTAGACACAAAGTGCAAACCTGTCTATCATGAGAAATCTGCTGTTGGTTTGTGTTGGTGTGTCTTTTTCTGCATTATGTGTAAAGTGAGGGTTGATTGACTGCTGTGAGTCAGGCTAGAGTGCCTTTGACAGACTGATTAGGTTTCTTTCTTTTATTTTTACATAGATGGACCCTCACTCTGTATATGATTACACCTGAGCTGCTTCAGCAGGCTGTCTCAAACCATCTCCACATTTCCCCACTGCTTTTTATGATATGGAGAAAAAAGTTTTATAAATTGAGCAGGACACATTCTTATACAAGCTGTCAGGTGCAGTGGGATCTGAAAGTATCATAAATTATCCAATGCATTCAGTAACTATACACTACAATGCATCTGTTTCCCTGAATAGCAGTCTTTACAGATATATGCAGGGAACATGTCACTTACATAAAAGCATTAGACATTGCCACTTGAATGCAATAAATCTTTCTAATTTAATCTTAGAAGAGCTTCTGTGTTGGCCCAATATGCAGTATTTTTGCAATACATCAGCGAATTACTGTGCTAAGAAGAGTTTCGGTGTATTTAGGTCTGAGGGATGAGTAGTACTGCATCTCTGGGTGTTAAAGCATTGATGTAGACCTCTGTGGAGGCACTAGGATCTCAGTGAACGTTACTCTGGCCCACACACATCACTACTGCAGTGGAAAATTAAACACCTCCTATATAACACCCCCCTCTGCAGCTGAGCACTACTGTGTAGGCGACTCTCTTCCTCAGCTCAATCCAGAGACTTACTGATGTGCGTCTGTAATTTACTGTCAGACCAAATGTGTGAAAAGTGTATCATTAGCCTGTCAATCACTTTTGTGCTTTATCTACTGAAAAAAAGGTTATATTAGTACCTAAAAGGAATAGTTAACCCAAAACTGAACATGTACTAGGCCATCTAAGATGTAGATGAGTGTGTTTCTTCATCAGAATAAATTTGGAGAAATGTAACATTACATCACTTGCTCACCAATGAATCCTCTGCAGTGAATGGGATTTATTTCTTACAAACATGCAGATTTTCACTTCACCAGACGTTAATTGATGGACTGGAGTCGTGTGGATTACTTGTGGATTATTGGGATGTTTTTATCAGCTATTTTGACTTTCTTTCTGACGGCACCCATTTACTGCAGAAGTGATGCTGCTAAGACAAGCTTAACTATTAATATTGCTCAAACATTTTAAATGATGACAAATAACTAATTTGTTGTGCCATTGACATAAAAGATACTTGCTAAAGTGCTATTGCCTTGCTAAATTATTATTTTTTCCATCAAGGTCTTCCATTTCAGTTAATTAAGTGTACTTGAGCTGGAAAAAATGCTATACTTTCAATAAAGCTTAAAAAAATCCCACATGCATAGAGAAAAAGTACCCGGGGGGGGGGGGGATAAATTAATACTTTTATTCAGCAAGAAGGCATTTAATTAATTGAAAGTGACAGTAAACATATTTATAATATTATTCTGGTTATTATGAATATATATATATATATATATATATATATACTTTCCGTACCCACTGTATATATATATATATATTCATACTAACCAGAATTATGTCTTGAGCAGGAAATCAGCATATTAGGATGATTTCTGAAGGATCATGTGACACTGAAAATCAGAGTAATGATACTGAAAATTCAGCCAGCATCACAGGAATGAATTGCATATTAAAATATATGAATACTATACCATTTTACTGACATTTTGATCATAAATGCAGCCTTGGTGAGCATAAGAGACTTCTTTCAAAAGATTTAAAAAATCTTACTGACCCAAATGTTTGAACTGTGGTAGTTTAATGTGTTTTGCCTACAGAAGCACACAAAAGCATCCTTCAACACCAATCAAAACATAAGCAATACCCAAACAGCACTTTTCAATGCACTCATCATGCTGGCCATTTGAGGTTAGAAAGGAAAGGCCTCAAAGAAGAAAACCCCTCAAACATTAGAACAAGTTTTCAAGGTAATCTGGCCACTGGATACTGGCTGTGCAAGGAGTTTGTTTGCCAAACTGTAAGTGTCTTTAATTGCGGTCTAGTTGTGTTCAACACAGTGCTAAATGTGTGGATGGGCAGAGGAGGTTCAGTTCACACATTCAGCTAGCTGATGATGATGCTTTCACATGAAGCAATTATGATAGTATTAGAGAACTTCATTGTGAAAATGGACCCTGATTAAACAACCTTCACCACTTTCAGCTCTCATCATCAAAGATCTTGTCTGCTGGGACATTTTCTTCTCCTCTGTGCTGAAGCTTAATAATGTTTCCACCGAAAAGTGTCAAGAGCAAAATATGTTTCATTAACTAAAATGTCTCTGAAGAATTCACAGGTAAGAAAAGATAAATTCACACTAAGCCAGCTGTCTTATTTACACCATGTACAGGCTTCAAGGTCATGAAAAAAGCAACTTTGTCATTATTATGCAGGTCTGTGTATATGACATTTATTTGGTTTCTTACCTCCACGGTGAGATCTTTGTAGAACTCCTTGCGACTTTTTAGATCAGTCATCTTTTCCATTAACTTTGATGCCTGAAAGAGAGATAAGTGAGTTCAGTGGGGACAATATCAGCAGCAGAAACCACTGGGTGGCACTAGTGATCATCTTTTGATGGTTGCACCTGCTGTGTTCAGACCGGGTAGGCGCATTCTTAAAGTTTCAGAAATGTTTTCTCAAAGTAATATTCATTTTTATGACAACTTTAAATGAAAAGTTTGAGAAAAACCATTAGAGTTCACAAACTTAAATTAGACTTCATGCTTTCTAAAAGTTTATAAAAGCATGTTTTATTTTGCAAGTTGTATCTGCCAAGGTCACTATTTCAAGAGAGTAATGTTTAAATAAAAAGCATCCCTGAGCTTGTGGAAAATGCTTTATTAAAATAAATAAATAAGAGAACGGATGAAGTGACATATGCAGCCAGAATTTACTGGCATTACATGCTTTCAAATGACACTGCAAAAGCATATTTCAAGGGTTAAAAGATTTCTGAATTAAATATTTTTTTTCTTTATAGGTTTAATTTGTTAAATATACAAAGCAATAGTTCACCCAAAAATGAAAATTTGCTGAAAATGTACTCATCAGGCCATCCAAAATGTACATGAGTTTGTTTTTTCATCGGATCAGATTTGGAGAAATTCAGCATTACATCCCTCGTCGTCAGTACACTGCAGTGAATGGGTGCCGTCAGAATGAGAATCCAAACAGCTGATAAAAACACCACAATAGTCCACAAGTAATCCACACAACTCCAGCTAACATCTTGTGAAGTGAAAGTTGCATGTTTAAAATAAACAGATCCATCAGTAAGAATTTAACTTCAAACCATTGCTTCTAGCTAAAATAAGTGAGTCCTCTATGCATAACACTACTTTGTCCAGTGAAAAAAGCATCTCGTCTGAATCAGGAGAGAAGTATGTACAAATCAAGTAACATTTACAAGCGAAAACAGTCCAAAACATTTCTAAACAATGTTGGTGGACTTTGATGTGAGAGGACAACAGAGAATGAACATTTTCACTAGCTGGAGGAAGTGTTATTATGGATTATGGACTAGTATTTATCCCAGAATCAATGGTTGAAAGTTAAAATGCCTCAATGATGGAGTTATTTCTTACAAACACGCAGCTTTTCGCTTTACAAAACATCAACTGATGGACTGGAGTCATGTGGATATCTTGTGGATTATTGTGTTGTTTTTATCAGCTGTTTGGACTCTCATTCTGACGGCACCCATTCACTGCAGACGGTCCACTGGTGAGCAAGTGATGCTAAATTTCTCAAACTCTATTCTGATGAAGAAACAAATACTGTATTTGGACAAATAAGCCAAACATAAAAATGTCTGAATGTCTTTTTATTATTTATCAAAATATAAGCCGTTCTGCAAATAAATAAACAAATAAATAGCACACTTTTCAAGCAAAACATTTCACAAACAAAATATTTGCTACTGTGAGTTTCAAATGATTAAAACAACACTGCTGTTAAAAATTAAAACAAAGAAAAATATTCGGACACTCCTTGGCTGTGAAATGTTAGTGGAACATGCATAGTTAACGTGATAAACTAAACCTGTGGTTACTCTGCAGTGTGAACTTGAGAAGAACTTAAATGGATAGCAGACGAAAAATCAGAGTTTTCACTAAAATCGTCGGTGTTTGTTGGGCCAATGTGAACTAGCCTTTACAATAAGAATAATGCAGTATTATTTAGGCTATATATGCAATCAACGTTACTTAAATGAACTAGTTAGCAACCATTTAGCTACAGTGGTACACGTCTTCCTCTATATTTAAGCATTAAGAAAGTTTTGTGTTGCATTGCTCTGCATTGCATCCCACTGAACTATTGTGTTGCCTACTGCTTTACTTTGCATTGCGATGTATTATTTCCTGAACACTAAATGCCCAATGGAATTCCTTTAATGTTGCAATTCATGTGAAATTATTTTTCTCTGGCAGTGTTAATATAGATGCTATTAGTGTGCATATGTAGACTACTCGTAACTTTTTGTGGTATTGAATAATAAAATACTACTTTAGTGCTTCCTGTATTCTACAAGAACACGTCCAACTGTTACCGTCTTCATTCGTGACATTATTAATAATAATAATGCGAATGACTGGAGGAATGCGCAGCTTGTGCGCATGCGCGTCTGGACGCAAGACCCTCATCTGAAAAATCTGATGTCATCTTGCCGGCAATATTTTCCTCTCTGTCTGTAAATTCAATTGAAATCGTATTCCGCTGCAACATAAACAGTGCGTGTATACGGTGAAAGGTGTAGATTGTGTGTGTGTCGTTTGATTCTGTGTGCATCATGCATCTCAATGGAGCAAGCAGCAGCTGATCTAGACGGCTTGATTTGCTGGATGAAGGTGGACGCTTAGGACACAACAGGTTATTGGCGTTTATTAACGGAGAGAAATACGATGTCTGCGAGAGAAAGACTGAAAGGGAAGATGATAAAAGAGAGCGTGACACTGCTGCCATGCTTTTATTTCGCAGAGGTAAGAGACCGTCTATTTACATGTGCACGTTTGATTTGACAGGTGACAACTTGCGAGATCAGAGTGAGATGACAATCCCATTTTAATGCTCAGGATAATGTTTCAGGCACAGCTGAATCAATAAATGGAACATTTTATTCCGCTGCAACATAAACAGTGCGTGTACACGGTGAAAGGTGTAGATTGTGTGTGTGTCGTTTGATTCTGTGTGCATCATGCATCTCAACGGAGCAAGCAGCAGCTGATCTAGACGGCTTGATTTGCTGGATGAAGGTGGACGCTTAGGACACAACAGGTTATTGGCGTTTATTAACGGAGAGAAATACGATGTCTGCGAGAGAAAGACTGAAAGGGAAGATGATAAAAGAGAGCGTGACACTGCTGCCATGCTTTTATTTCGCAGAGGTAAGAGACCGTCTATTTACATGTGCACGTTTGATTTGACAGGTGACAACTTGCGAGATCAGAGTGAGATGACAATCCCATTTTAATGCTCAGGATAATGTTTCAGGCACAGCTGAATCAATAAATGGAACATTTAAATATTTGACTATTTATCTGTGGTGATAAAGTGAATTGAGGGATTGTATTGCTCATAAGATGCTCTTTCAAAGCTCATGAGACTTGATGGAGCTCTCCTTGATTGAAGTATCTTGATCTCAGATGTTCTCCTAAATTCCTTATGAGAAATGAAAGCAAAAAAAGACGGCTGCTGAAAGAATGTTTGCGTTCATATTGTAATCATAAGAAAAATTCTTTTGAGTTTAAAAAAAAAAGCTTTGTTTGCCACAAAATAATATTTTTTGCCATTTATGTATGTGTGTGCTTATATATACAATATATATATATATATATATATATATATATATATACTGTATATATGTGTGTGTGTGTGTGTGTATGTAATTTTGAATTATTTTAGTTTTTTTTTTCATTATAGCTGGTTATAATTTATCTGAACTTTTGACAGTTTATGGCTCTTTTAAAGTTGCAAATGAAACATGAAATTTAGTATTTACTTTTCATTACATTCAATAAGCACAGTGTGCAAAGAAAAAAGACTCACCAGCTTTATTATTATTAGCATTAAATTAAAATAATAAATGAAAGACACTGACTTTTTAGTGCTGTCAAGCAATTAATCGCATCCAAAACAAGTTTTTGTTTACATATATATGTGTTTACTATGTATATTTGTTAAGTATATATAAATACACACACATGCATGTATATATTTAAGAAACATTTTTGTTTATATATATATATATATATATATATTATAAATTCTATGAATATAAATATATACTTCTAAATACATGTAAATATTTTCAAAATATATACTGTATGTATGTGTATTTATATATACATAATAAATATACATAGACAAAAGTTTTTGTTTACATAACATATGTGTGTGTGTACTACACATATGTTATGTAAACAAAAACTTTTATTTTGGATGTGATTAATTGCGATTAATCGTTTGACAGCACTAATTAATATTTATTGGTTTTACATTGAATCCAATCTTTTTAGTGTGCATTGTTTACTTCCGTGGACAGCATCTCACACATTCCTTGTAAAATATAATCAGTTTGATATGTACGATATGTGGCACAGAGTGATGTCAGCACTGGGATGCTGTGCTTCTGTCAGCTCGCCTTGTTAGATGTTCCCCCCAGGAGGTGCTGCTCTGCTCTCCATGCATCATGATGGGGTTAGTGGAATATATGTAGGTCAGTGTGACATAAAGAATTGAGGCAGTGCAGATTTCATACGCACATGCATATACCGACACACGTGATCTAGTACTTAGGAGGAAGATCTAAGCAGTCACTCATACATTATGCAGGGCTGTGCTGAATTGGACATTTTCATTCATTTATTCATTCCTCCATTTGCTGTTTTTCACTGAGCTTTGCAAAATTGTTTGTCAAATACCAAAAATGAAGGTCTAGGAGATTAGGATTACCATATTTGAAGGTTTTAAAGAGATATGATGCATGTGCTCGGCAGAAATGGCTGGATACTCAAGATATCACTTATAAGTTTCATCAGGTCACAGAAACCTCCATGTCTCCTCATGTGGAGCAGTGCTCTTATCGTAACGGGCCCTTTACCATCCGGACACCATCTGCACCTGCTGGGATGGTGCCTATCCCACATAGATCTGAAGAAATGCTATCCTCCCCATTTATAGCCATCAATTATTAAGACCTCAGTCTCGCCTCTTCTTTTAATTTGGGATAAGCTTGAAGTCAACATGAAATTGCATTCACAAGCTATTTTAATTCAGTAACATGATGTATTTCTGATTGAAAATGGATATTCGGTCAGAAGAAATTGGACTTGATTAGATCAAGAAAATGTGATCCACTTGTTTTAAAATAAAACTGGACAATCATATGACCTTCAATATTCCACATATACACTGTAAAAAGTTGTAAATAAAAGTAGGTTTTACAAAATAGTATTTTAATTGTTCTACTTTAAAATTTCACATTTAATTCAATGTGTTACTTGCTGATTCTTTGGAATTATTTGTGAAGTTTACTAGCAATTTCTGAGTGAAAATTGTTTCTACATCACTTTTTTTTAGTTTATTACCATCTGATACCATCAATATACCACTACTTTATAAAGGCACAGGAAAAAAGGATCAGTTAGAATCTTTCAAACAGAATTACAACGATCATCTGATGTGACTTCAAATCTACTGTCAAAGCAAGCATGCTTTTGTTGGGATGTGATGCTCTTTGATGCTCATGGAGATGGTCGGCTGCTTTGTAAATCTCTTACGGTTTGTCCCAAGTGCCAGTGCTTTGGAAGAAAATATGGGTCAGTGGTATCAGTAGGCCACAGTGCAACTCAGCACAGAATGGCAGCTGCATACTGTATTCATCTGCATATCAAAAGCCCGCAAACTGACCCAATAACTCTACTGTAAAAACTTCAGCCGAGAGATCTTAATTACTGGCTTACAGTGATAAACGCGACAAAACAATCTGTCATAAAGGATACGAGATGATTTTGTAAACATAAACTTACACTGAAAAAAATGGAGTAGAATTTACTTGAAAAAAGCTAAGAAACAAGTTTCACTCAGTAGTAAATTTCACAAAACAATTATAATTGTAATAGCATTGAGCATAAAAATTGTATTATAATTATAATAATGCCTATTGGATAAAAATGGTTGCCAGACAATTAAACACACACATGCACAGATATATGTTTATGGTATTCATGTATCATGGTATTTACATGGCGAATATATACTGTATCATAATACAAAAATATATGTGACCCTGGACCACAAAACCAGTCATAAGGGTCAGTTTTTTGAGATTGAGATTTATACATCATCTGAGTAAGCTGAATAAATAAGCTTTCCATTGATGTAAGGTTTGTTAGGATAGGACAATATTTGGCAGAGTTACAACTATTTGAAAATGTGGAATCTGAGGATGCAAACAAATCCAAATATTGAGAAAATCGCCTTTAAAGTTGTCCAAATGAAGTTCTTAGCAATGCATATTACTAATCAAAAATTAAGTTTTGATATATTTACGGTAGGAAGTTTGCAAAATATCTTCATGGAACATGATCTTTACTTAATATCCTAGATTTTTGGCATAAAAGAACAATCAATAAGTTTGACCCATACAATGTATTTTTGGCTATTGCTACAAATATACCCCAGCGACTTAAGACTGGTTTTGTGCTCCAGGGTCACATATATTCTCTTTAATGTTAGTGTGAATCCATCTAAATTTGTACTACTAGCTCACAGGCCTACAGATATCACCTCACAAACTCATTATATGGCTTTCATATACCTAGGATTTTATTTATCTTCTAAGTACTGCCCTGTCTGGGTGTATATAGCGATAATGGCTGGCTGACTGTATGTACATTTCCATAGGGACCCGTTATGTGGACAGTGTAATTCTTTGAACATGTTTGTTGAAGAGTTATGTGATGTTTTCTCCTCTCTAACAGCTTCCTCTCCTGGTCTCATCTATGGTCAGTGTGTATTTTCTGGAGTGGACGGACATTTTCAAACCGGTCCGCTGGGGTTTCAGCTGTCACGACCGCAGTCTGAGTCTGCCTTATATCGAACCCACACATGAGGTTATCCCCTTCCTCATGCTCCTCAGCCTCGCTTTCGCAGCTCCTGCTATTACGGTCAGTCTAACCCTATACCGCTACACACACATGCACTATACTTCTGCTTTTGGATACTGTATATTGGATAGGACACAAACCGTTGGCCTCTTGCTGATGTTGCCTGCATTATTGTGATTCACGCAAGCTGGTTGAGTACCTGGAGTAACATTTCTATCAAACAATTATTGCAATAATACAAGTCTTGCAGTGCCAGAGTCTGGTCCACTCTGGATCTAATTCTAGCTAAGAAACATTCACATAGACAGAGAATAATATAACATTGTCAGAATAATATAAAGTGCCCAAGAAGGTTATATTCAATGGCCCAGATTTTAGTTATTGTTTCTACTTTTCTGTGGATTTTATTTGCATTATATATATATATATATAT